AATTATTGGGGGATTTCCTTCTGAAATGAAAGGTTAACTGCAAACAGGAGCTTTAGGACCTCAAAGGGGTTTTCAAACCTGCAAACCCCTTTCCTGCAAGAAATCACTCTTCCTGATTTCTAAGAGTTGAAATAATTATCACTCAGAGAACGATTAAAACAAGAATTTTTCACAAAAAGGTTGACGTTATTGCAGAACATGCTCCCAAGTGGTACAATTCATGATCAGTCTTTTTTAACTGATTTAAGATTAACTGGGAAAAAGGGAGGGTACACAGCAAACTTGCTGGAATAAAGGGCAAGAGCCCACTTAGGGAAGGAGATAAAGCGGGGAATGAACCAGAAAAGGAAAGACAGTTTGGGCATCAACTGGGTAAGGACGTTCCGAACCGAGACATAGTTGAAGACCTCTCGCTCATCCACATCCTTGAACCGGTAGAGGCGGGCAATGTCCGGGCTGAGGACCACTTTGCCGCTGTGCCGCATGACCTGGGGGTCCGAGGCCAGGGCCACTACGCATTTCCCGCTCACTTCGGGAGTTTCTGCCATGTCGACCAGTCGCTCTGACAGGTCCTTGAGCAGCGCGTGGGACTCGGTTTCCTCCGCTTGCTGCTGGATCAATTCGGTGCGAACGAGCCCGGGCCAGAGGGCCACGCAGGCCACGCCGAAGGCGCGCAGTTCGACGGCGCAGTCGGCCGCCAGGCGGTCGCACGCAGCCTTGCCCACCCCGTACGGGACGTCGAACATGTACCGCAGTCCGCCGGCCGAGGAGATGATGACAATGAGCCCGCGCCCGGCGGGCACCATGAGCCGGGCAGCATGAACCGTGCAGAAATACTGGCCTCTCAGGCCTGCGTCGTTGATCTGGTCCCAGAGGGACGGTGCGCTTTCCCAGAAGGGCACACCCATCTCTTGGGCGACGGTGCTCACCCCGGAGAAAGCGCTGTTGACCAAAACGTCCAGGCGGCCAGCTTGCTCCCGCCGGACGCGCTCGAACAGCGCCGCCACGTCCTCCTCCCGGGTAGAGTCGCACACCACCGGCACGCACTTCCCGCCCCGGCCTTGCACCTCCGCCGCCGCTCGCTCCAGAGTTTCCTGGTGCCGGGCCGTGATGTACACGGTGGCGCCCGCCTCCGACAGCTGCAGCGCGATGCCTTTCCCGATGCCCCGCGAGGCGCCGGTCACCACGCAGACGCGCCCCGACAGAGGCCTAGCAACCGAGGCCATGGCAACAGCGGCGGTGCAGGAAAGCGCTGCTTGCTAAACGGCCGGTGAGAATGGGAGCGCCGCGGCGCTGGCTGGAGCTCTTGATGCCTGCCCAACGCCGTCCCATCCACCGCGAGCAGGAAAGGCGGGGACTGCCGCCGGTTACGGCCCAGGCGGCCGAACTGGTTGCACGCGTCTTGCTGGTTTGATGCAAGAGCTCCTCGCGTTAACGGAGAGGATTAAGACCAACTGCTCCTTCAAGGCTCGCTGTTGGGAACAATCAACAGACAAATACTTTAGCACAAGCTTCAGAAGGACAGCTGCCTTATTTCCTCATGTGTTCGTTAGTTAGGTTTATAGCCTATCTTTCTTCTAAGAGCCCGACATGGCTTCAGGGGATCTCCCTTCGTTTTAGCCCTGCAACAACAATCGTGAGTTTCCCAGGCCACGAGAGGATTTGAAGTCTCCAGTCCTAGCCGAACACCTTAACTCTTCGTGTGCGTGTTTTATCAACAACCAGTTTTAGCCGATTCCGTCCCCCGGCCCACCCCGCCCCGCCCCGTCTTTCTCTCTATTGCACATGCCCCTGTTACTTCATAGAAGCGATGTCTGACAATTTGGATTTTCTTGCCAAGAGAAGTACGTGGCCTCGTCTCTGTTCATGTTACAGCTGTTGTTTACTGCCGCCATCTGGCACCAGGAGGCATGCTGAAGTCAGGGATACTTCCCGTGGTTTAGGATTACTGGCTAAGCGTTTCCTCCTCTCAAGTAGCAAGGCTTCTGTGCTGTCAAGCAGGCAAAAATCAAGAAGAGGAGCTTTTTAACGTTTACTGTATTTTTATTTTTGGTTAGATTTCTATCCCACCTTTCCTTCAGGAGTTCGTGGGGCTGTACAGAATATCCCCTCCTCCATTTCCCCCCATAACAGGAGTATAAAGTGGGTCGGGCTGAAAGAGCAGCCTTGAGTCAGGCAGTGAGCTTCCACGACTGAATGAGGACCTGAACTGGGGTCTCCTTAGTTGTTGCTTGTACACAGGGAAACTACAGGGCTGGACGGGAGGCAGCATAACTTGGCCACACCTCACTTTTGAAGTCTCCAGCCATAATACAGCTTTCAAATACATGCGCCTGATTTAATTTTTTTCTAGAGCTATCCCATGTCCTTGCAATCTGATAAGCTTAAGATAAAGCAAATATTGCATTAATTGAAATTACATTTTTTTTACAAGCATGAATGCTTTCTGTACAGTGGAGAGATCCAAGTATAATTATTTTTTTAAACTCTACAAAAAGCACTGATTGTGATTTTTTAAAAAATGGAAGTGCTAAGAGAAAATGTCTCACTTTTAGAAAGTTCCATACAGAGAAATGGGAAGAATCTGTAAATACAGGAAAAAGGAGGAGCCAGTCTAGAAGCAAGGGACATTTTACAGACCATAAAAATGGTCTTAAAATGTCACTGAATGATAGTTCTATCCCTACCTTTTATATATTCATACTACTAGACCAAGCTCTCTTCTTACTTTGTTCTAGCACTGTTGTTTTTCATTCATCATTCACATGCATCATCATATATATAATAATGGTATGCTGGAGGGCCCAGCATCTACTACTGGGTAAGGCATTTCATCATGGACACTCCTTTTCTGTGTCCTACTAATTCAGCAGAGCAATGGACATATTTCACAAGCCTATAATTAAAGCAGTAGTCAGATTTTGTTTTTGAAATGCTTAGCAAAGAAAGCAGAATTCTAATTACAGGTAGTCCTTGCTTAACAACCATTTGTTCAGCGACTGTTCAAAGTTACGATGGTGCTGAACAAATGGTACTTATGCCCAGTTCTTGAAATTATGGCCATTGCAGTGCCCCTGTAGTCACTTGATCAAAATTTGGGCGCTTGGCACACCACCCACATTTCCAACCTCAGGGTGCACTTCAACTTCCCCCCACCTGCCTATCTCCACCCTCTCAGCCCTTTTGGCTGCCCTGCACTCTGCCGCCCCTGCTGCCCCCAGCTGACCTTTGTCATCTTCTTCCTCCTGCTGCTGACAAGGCGCATCCGGCCTGGCTGTTCATGAGGCAGTTGCTGGCTGCATGCGGCTTTCTTCCCTTGCTTGTGAGCCACCCTGGACTTGCAACTTCCTGCTGGCTTCCCACTGACTTTGCTTGTTGGAAGCCAGCAGGAAGTTGCGAGGAGGTCCTCGTTTAACGATCTGTGATTCTTACTTAATGATGGCAACAGGGACTGCCGGGATTGGCATCACCAAGTGATACAATCACATGACATTACACTTTATGACTCGATCGCTTAGCGATGGAAATTCTGGTCCCAATTGCTGTCATAACCCAAGGACTACCTGTAGATGTAAGCCTACTTTGTAGCATAGGTTAGGGTGGCACTGATCCATTCAGAAAAGCTTTGCTAGAAACCTTACAAAATTGCAATATGGTATTGGAGAAGTAAGCCGGCCTAAGTATATCAGCATATTTTATAAAAGAAGCCATGCAGCCTTTATTCAATAGGAAAGAGAACAATCACGTCACCTGTATATTCCATGGAAAGATCAGGACACTGAGAATAGTGCCAATGGAACTTCAGTGTCTTTCAAGAGTCAGTCTAGTTCTTTGAGTTCTTGGTAGATCTCTCTTAATCACAACATGAAATGACCGCTTTCTTTCTGCTCTGTTCAGTGCTTTATTTAAGAATGTGGCAAACTGATGTTCAGCAATCATCAAGGAAAAACAAAAAGTTTATAATTTATAATATAATTTATAATTTAAATACTTTCAGAGTAATGCTTTCCAGCATCATTTGATCATAATAATTAAGATGTATATACTTCAATATCCATTTTTACCATCAAACGAGACAAATATCTCTTTATCCCGGTTTTTGGTTGAATGCTTGCGCCTATATTTTTGTTAGCACTGTGCTGTTTTATATTTTTAACTTTTGAATGCTTTTGTTTTATATGTTGTAAGCCACTTTTGGATTCCTTTTAGTGAAAAAGGGCTAAACATCATAACTAAGCCTTTTCTGAATGAGTAGATACAATCAAGGTTTATGAATCTTTGGTGGCGTTAAATAGTGCCATTTCTTTTCATTTAAATATAATTTTATTAAGAATTTTGATTACAATAGTAAAAACTAATACAAACTAAACTTAGAGAAAGAGAAGAGAAAAAAAGAAGAAAAAGTGTAAGAAAGAAGAAAAAGAAAAGAAATATATAAAGAAGTGACTTCTAACCTTCATCACAACAGGTATAAACATATTTAGTAACTCTTCAT